CCCTGAAGAAAAGGACTCGGGGCAACTGATGGATGAGAAGCTCAACATGAGCCGTCAGTGTGCACTTGCAGCCCAAAAAGCCAATCGTGTCCCGGGCTGCACCAAGAGATGCGTGGCCAGCAGGTCAAGGGAGGTGATTCTTCTCCTCTACTCCGCTCTCATGAGGTTCCACCTGGAGTGCTGCATCCAGTTCTGGAGCCCCTACTAAAAAAGATATGGACATGCTGGAACGTGTCCAGAGAGGGTCCACGAGGATGCTCAGAGGGCTGGAGCACCTCTCCTATGAAGACAGACTGAGAGAGTTGGGGCTGTTCAGTCTGCAGAAAAGAAGGCTCTGAGGAGACCTTATTGTGGCCTTCCAGTATCTTAAGGGGGCTACAAGAAAGCTGGTGAGGGGCTTTTTAGGATGTTGGGTAGTGACAGGACTAGAGGGAATGGATTAAAGCTAGACATGGGTTGGTTCAGATTGGATGTTAGGAAGAAGTTCTTCCCCATGAGGGGGGTGAGACACCGACACAGGTTGCCCAGAGAAGCCCCATCCCTGGAAGTTTTTAAGGCCAGGCTGGATGGGGCTCTGAGCAGCCTGATCTAGTGGGGGATGTCCCTGCCCATGGTGGGGGGGGTGGAACTAGATGACCTTTAAGGTGACTTCCAACCCTGACAATTCTATAATTCCATGTGAAATATGACAAGATTACAGAAAAGTATTTTAGTTCTGGTTTTATTTCAGGGAGTTTTTTAACAATTATTAGTTTTACTCCTCATGAGGGCTGCGACTCTGCACATGAGCTATCTCTGCCTATATGAGCCACAAATAGAAAGACTTAAAGTAACATTAGGGCACTCATGAAAACATTCTACCCAGCTGGGTATACATCCAGGTGAATACACCCTAGGAAACATGGAAGAGCCATGAATAGTTTATCCTTTTTACAGCTAGCATTTGAAGTTATGTGCTATTTATGCAACCAAAGAACATTTCAACCTTCTCCTCATAACTACAAAACTTCTGAAAAAAAAGAGAGTTACGTTCTCTAGCCAGTGACTCCAGGAGTCAGAGCCTTAAACCTTGCTGTAAAGGACATTCATTTTACCCTCCATGCAAAGTGCCTGGCTTAGTTTACGAGAAAAGGAGAACTGAGTGTTTTGGCAGGTGGAAAGGAAAGGAAGGAAAGGAAGGGGAGGGAGGAGAGGGAGGAGAGGGAGGAGTGGGAGGAGAGGGAGGAGTGGGAGGAGAGAGGGGAGAGAGAGGGAGGAGTGGGAGAGAGAGGGAGAGAGAGGGAGAGAGAGGGAGAGAGAGGGAGAGAGAGGGAGAGAGAAAGAAAAAGGCACTGACACGCCAGTACAGGTACATACTGATGATTATATCCATCTGCCTTAAATTAGATATTGATTTTGCTGTTGCGTTCACAGTGACAATTGCACACATTGTCTCAATCTCTGGTCAAAGACCACGTCCCCTTGGCTTACATGCTGTGTGGCAAAAATTGACCACTGATCCTGACTAATAACTAGTATCATGCCTTTAGCTTGTTTAAGCAATCTATCTTTGAAGCTATTGATCTATGCAAAAGTTCTTTGGTAAGACTGAAGCCCCTGGCATTCTCCAAAAAGTCCGAAGTAGCTAAACTGAGAAGAAAGGAACACAGCTCTTATTTTTTTGAAGTGCAGTTATTTTAGCTGCTCAGATTTTAGATTAAACTACTGAATTCTAATAGGAATATGTTTAGTTTAATTCTGATTAATTTCTTTATGCATTCTAGCAAGTCTTTTACACGTATTTTTAAAATTTATTCCTACAATATAATCGTGTTTGGGTGGGGTTTTTTGTTTTGTTTTGTTTTTTTTTAACAAGAGCTAATGAATAACCTTATGACCACCAGAATTCCATCAACTACTTTCTAACATAGTTTCTATGTATGTATGAACAGCTTCCTCATTCAATTTTTGAAGGTGTTGCTTTATACAAGTCATGCCACAAATCCCTCTCCAGAAACTAGATTTTATTTTGTTGTTAAGGAATGTCAATCTTTATACAATCACCATTTTATAATGCCTATAATACTTGGCAGTTATAGCAATATAGTATACACAAGGGTCAATGGATTCATTCATAAGCGAAAAGCACAAAATATTCCCTGGCAAATGGGATTAAAGCATAACAAACTTAAAATCAATGATTCCTGCATAAATTGAACTGATGAAAAGGTTTCAAGCTGCTACAACTACAGACTAAGACCTTTATAACTAAAAGATAAACAAGAAAATGTGCTATTGACAGATAACTAATATCACCGACTTTACAAGCACTCAAAGCTCTAGCAGAAAGGTGACATTAAGATACTCTCTAATTTCACTTCTGTGAAATTTCATTTCCACTGGAGATGATGGTATGTAGGAGTTACTTTAGGAAGTTTCATGCTTTTCCAGTTGAAAGAATTGTTGATCCAAGCACTCCAAAAGTGCCTTAAATTAAGTTTCCACACAGAATTTCCATCTTTTATACACCTCAAGAGTCCCGATCAAAAGCTAAGAAAGCTCATCCTAAATACCCTAGCAAGTATAAAATCAAGTCTCTTGAAGTTCATATAAATGAACTTCATTTGATGTTGTACTGAGATTTCCAGTTAGCCAATTCCTTAAGTGTAGAAGAGTATCTTTTTGAAAAAGAACAGAGCAAGTACTACGGAAACCAGCCCTTCCTTAAACTTACACTGTGTGAAGACATTCCTAACACTGACTGCATCTGCAAGTCACTACAATGGGTTCCATTGACCTAAAACCAGTTTTGATAGCTGTAGCATTCACAAGTCTAGTCCTGAAAGGATCCAGAAACCACTTCTAATCCCACCAGAAGACAAGCTGCCAAAACATTAGTCTAAAATTCTTTAGATATCAGTGATCACAGCCACTATAGCAAGTAATTTGGAACAGCAGGACCAGAGCAACAGATGAAAGTAGCGTGTGCTGAGCCTTCCCATCTATACTGTATGCGGTTCAAAGACTGCATTGAGCCTGGTATCCTGGACCAAACATGCTTTGAAGAGGAGAGTCAAAGCCAGTGATTGATTCTTCTATACTCCTTGGGGCCAGAAGCACATTTGGTGCACACCTGGAATGGAGATTCTCAGTTTCCTCCAAAAGAAAACCAGCTTGCGCATCACAAAATCGTTCTGCAGTAGGTGGGTGCCCTCTCTTCAAACCTCTGCTACTCCTTTGAATCAAAATCTTAACGGAGAGGTAGACAGTGAAGTTATCTACTACTGTCTTGATTCTCTGGGCCTTTTAGCGACTCATAAACTTCTCTGCTTAGACCTCTTTTCTGGACTTTATTCTTGCTTTCAGATCCTCCTTAGACTTAATGGTTTTCTCCCCATTTCTGCTTTTTCTTGCCAAACTCTCTGCAGTAACTTTTCCTCATAAAAGCTGTGTTCAAGTAATACACACCAGCTAAAAACAAACACTCAAGTGAAACAACCGATTTTCACATAGTATTTCCACTACCCTAAGACAATACTTCCTTTTTTGCACCGAATGTTACAATATTTGTTGCATCTGTTTGCGTCAAGTTCAACATCCAATAGAAAGTTTACTTTAGTCTCACAGGTCAAGATGTTAATTTTTATCTGGACATCTTACCTAAAATGTTCAAGTTCCAGCTATGCCTGCTATGATTTCACATGAAATACAGGTTCCCTCATCACATTGTTAGATGATGCTACAGATGAAGAGATGTTCTTGAAACATTAATTTTTGTCTTAGGTGTCCACTCTCTTCAAAAGCAGTCTCTAGTGTAGCTTAAAATTATGTGGATATGAAGCTAGTACTTCATCCACTGCCAAGAGCATATGCTCATAGAAACGTCACTGCTTTCTGATCCCAGGTCAGGTAGGGTCCTCGCACTTTTCTAGCTTAGTTTCTCATCTGTCTATGACACCTCCATCTCACGGACAAAAGAATTTGACAATTTGATGTGTCCAGGGCACACCACTCTTAGAAGGAGAGCCCAGCAGGGCACACAGTCCTGCTCCCTGTGGAGACAACACAAGGTAAGGCAGCTCAGCCTTAGCCACCGGCAGCAGAAGTGGCAATCAAGTGCTAATGGGCTGAAGTGAGCTGCTAATGGCTGTGACTAGATTTCATTTTGGTGTGGCACTACTTAAAAGAAGCTTCCTGAAACAAACCCAAGGGCTTTTCACCTCTAGAAATTCTCTAGCTAATAGCATCTCTTGCCGACAGCTATGGCTTTAGTGACACGTTCTTCAATTCTGAAAGAGTTGTCTTTGAGGTTCTCCAGAAGTCTCAGGTATCCTCTGCTTACTGGAGGGGGCATGCTCATGAATGTTTTGCCAGTGGCAAGCCCTCCTGCGACCGATGAGACTTTCATCAAGCTTATTAGGAAATAAAGCTGGAGTTCAGGGTCCTGGGACTGGCGAGTCCTCAAAACATAAGGCGTTCCTATCATCCCAGCATGATTCAACTTGCCGTCCAAAAAACAGATCCAGCAGCCTTTGATCTTCAAAGATGACAGGGAACAGCCTCTGCGGCAGCCAAATGCATCTTTCTGCATTACCAGATTGCTACAGAGACAGGCAGATGGGTGGAGCAGCCTCCGCGTTCCTACCATAGGAGCAGCCCGATTCTGGGTTAAATTACAGCAGCACAGAAGAGCACAGATGGCAAGTGGGAGAAAAGATCCCAAATTCAGCTGTGCAGCTGCGAGGTGGGACAACCTTGCTCACACACACACAGAGGAGACACTTGTTTTGCTACACTGATGTCAGAATGAGCCACTCACTGAAATGGCAGAAGTGGACACTAAATACCCTGCTTCAAAGGGACCTCTTGTTAGTACCCAGCTACATCCCACATTTGGAAGTATTTCAACACAACTGTGTGAATCTTCTGTCTTTAGGACAAGTACAGATCAACTGCAGCAAGAAGTCAGAAGCACAAATGATGAAAATTACATTACTAAAACTGCAATAAAAATCTCTTACCTCACCAAATGCACCTCTTCCAATCACTTTTATAATTTCAAAGTCATCTCGGTGGAGTTGCATTTCCTTTACCAATTTTGTAAATGGTCTTGCTGTTTAAGAAAAAAAAAAAGAAAAAAGGCATTATTGAAGATAAAAATTGTAGGCCAAAATAATCCATAAACCAGACATCAAAAGTACTCATTGCATATCCAGTGCAATAGTAGTTTTTCAACTACTATTAGAGCTAGAAAAGATATTAATAACACTATTTAATTAATATTTCAACTTTTTAAAAAAATTCAATCCTATGATTGGTTCTGCCTTGCTGCCAGTGAGTAAAGAGCAAAGTAGTCTTTCAGTGGGATTTTCCCCCCCCTTTAATCAAGGGTTTTGTGAACCAGTGAAGGACCATGTGAAACAAGCAAGCTGATTCACCCTTGGTAAAACCTAGAGACAACCCATCCTATCCTTCAGCCACTACAATAATTCTCTTCCTAAGCAGAGTTCAGCTTTATGTTCTATTACTGCAGCTAGTCCCAGCTAAAGTTTTAACAACCCACTCTCAAGACATAGCTGTCTCTACTCAAAGCCATGAAATGATTTTCTGCAAGATCTGTTGCTAATTTAAGATTTTTACTTCCAACTGTCTTTTCTGTTAAGCAGGATTTACCAGATCTCAGTCAGAACAAGTGCTGGAGGCTGCAGCCTAAAAGATGTCCGGCTATTAACTAACCTGCGCTTACTTTTTTCTGGTGGTCCCCTCAGATTCAAGCCATCTCTCAAAATACCTGGTTGATAAATTCCCCTGTACTTGCAGATCCCATCAATTTTCTCCTCTCCAGCTCCCATTCAGTGTTTTCTTTAATTCTAGCATACCACAGCATGAGGATTACTGTTTAGATACATTTGTTACAGTTCCCTATTCTGATTTACAAAGATCACATCAACAAGGAAGAACAGCGGTGGCAAGCTGATAAGGTGTCTACACAAAGCAGCAGCTTACGCTACTAATGAAGCACAAAAAAGACATTTCTCACCTCATCATGACCATTACCAGACTAAAAAGGCTTTAGTTTTTAAACACACGCATTTTTGCCATTTGCAAATGAATAAAACTGAACTACTACTTGTAATTCAGTCCAGATTCCTGCTTTACTCCACCTTACATTATGATTAAGCTAATGAGCTATAAACCAGACGGGATTCCTACAAGAGGGGTCAGTGCCTTAACAAGGTACTTGAGATGCTAACACAGACAAACCCAACCTTACAAACACACGACTGAACTGGAGATTACAGACTTCGGTATGAGGTCTAACCAAGAAAGCCTGAAAAAAAAACCCCAAACATGTAACAGCTAATAAAACAAAGAAATAGCTGTACTGAAGAACAGCCACGCTGCTTCTTTGTACTTAGGAGAGGTGTTACTGAAAAGTTTTCTTCCACACGCAGTACTGCTTTCACTGGATGTTTCTTGTCTAGCCAAGGTATGAAATTTAAGAAGGAGGCTCTACTAGACTTTCTGCTACATTCCCTGGCTCAGCTGGACAGAAATACCTATTGTCTCCTCCTCCACAAGGCCATTAAGGTTGTCACCCCAAAACCCCATATTGTTTCTAACTTACCCAATACCACCAACTCACATTAATTAGAGACCTATACCAGTCCAATCAGGCATCTACACAGTAAATAGCACTGCCAATGGCTATGATATGCATAACAATTATTTTGCAAGGTTCTCTTGCCTTCTTCCCTTCCCATCAAAGCAGAAGAGACCGAGGAGATGCAGCTATAGGGAAAAAATAAAGGTAAAAGTTCCGTTACAAAGTAATGGATTGCTACTATGGAATGCAGGTCGTTAAGACTAATTTTGCAGAACATCAGCTTCTGTTATTAGAATTCAAGTGGAGGGAAAATGAAAGCCAGTAATTTTACTTCTAGGGCATACTAATCCAATAGTAGTATTTGGTTTTGTTTAAAGAAATAACCAATTTTAGCAACAATTCTAGTCAGTAAACACAATACCAAAATAATTGGTTTAAGTATTTATAAAAAACCCTACCGTAAATTGATCACAAGCAACTTTCAAAGCAGAAGACACAAACCTATGTAAGTTTAATTTGTCTTGTACACTTAAAAAAAAAAAAAATCCTTATTTCTTTTTTTTTCTTGTTTTGTTAACTGGTAACAAAATATTGTATTATTTTGTCTATAGTTTTCCTTGCTTTGAAGTGCATTAAACTTGACCTCTTTAAAACTGGGATTCAGTTTAGAAATGCATTAAGTTGTATTAAATGAAGGTGAAATCAATTAGTTTTGTATTTTAGAAGATAATAAATATTACTTATCAAGCAGAGCACATAGTTAAATTTGAGTAAACAGAAAAAAATGAGGTCTGCAGAGAAGGGTATTAATGCTATCTTTCTAGTAATTGCATCCTTCAAGAAGGAAGGATTAGCAGACCTCATTCTCTTTATCACCATTCAATTGAAAAACTGCAAGAGTCCTAGGTTGGTTCTATTTTCTCCTATCTCAATAGGTCAACTGAAGTACTACATATTAAAATGAATTAAGTTAATACAGGTAACTAAAAAAAATGTATTAGCTCCTAAAAGAATGTTACTATTTTTGCAAGCTATTAGTGCCCTTAAATGATGACGGCTTTCAGTAGTTAACAGGTGATGGTGTTCGGAAACATTGCAACCTGCAGTGGTCTTTCTCTTGAAAAGCTAAGCAGAAAACATGAATATTTGAATATACAGAAAAATTTTAAATTGGATAGGACTTCCCCTGAAATGGAAAAATCCAATTTAAGACATGTAAGATTCTTTATAAGTAAATAAAATTTGAATTTAAACCCTAATATCCACAGAAACTCATAATCACAGAGACTGTAACAGTGGCTACACAGCAGATCAGAGCTCAGAGGAAGCAGCACACCAGTAATTCATTTATATTGATATTTACTCTATTTTGGAATAGAACAGTTTACACTGGGGTGTGACTGCTGCTTCTTGGTACTGGATTGCAAATTTTTGCCTCTTAGTAAGTTAAATAAAAATATTTCTAATCTGCCTTCCTGCTCCCCGGTAGGAAGTTGCTGTTCCTAAACCCTCTACTATCCCCCATAAGCAGCACACACAGAACTGGCAAAACCAAGTGAGCAGAACCTTGCACCAAAAAGTATGAGGGAGCTGTGTAGCTGTGCTTGCCAGCAGGCGGCCAAGTGCTGTGGCCACCACCATAGAGCTGGTAAAACCTTCAGCTTCTCCTTTTACACATCACTATTTTATAATGAGGAACTCCAAGCAAACTTCTCTCCATACACTGGAATGAATGATTATACTTCACTGAATAGTTTTTATCCTAATATTAAACCCAGGAGTTATGATTTAATACGTAATGAAAGTATTTCATCCTGGCAAACAGAAGCATTAGCTGTACTGAGGGTTTTGTTGGCAGTGATTACTGAATTTTGTTATATATACAGTTGTCAGGGTAACATTAGCTGAGAGTAATTGAGAGTTTACTCATGACTGTGAGGCTGTAATCAGAATTTGGGATAGGCACTGTACGCGCCACATATTTGTATGCATCACTGCCTTTTCTCTCACGCTGACTTTGCATTAGTGTACTTACACTTGTCTGGAGGAAGGGTGTTCTCTATAAGGCCACACAAGAAAAAAACGCAACAACCTAAGAAATGTATACTCTCAAAAATATAATAAAAAACACTGACAGTCAATGTTTCCATCAATATTCAAAATGGGAAGTGAAATGCGAGTAGATATTTCTTCATCCAAAACAAGGGTATGTATGAAAGACATAATTCTCCACCCACAAACAAACTGTATTCTGATCACGTTTCTCTGTTCCTCTGATAGATGGGACTAGAATATTTTGTTTGCATGAAAAGAAAACATCAATTTGAAAAATCTGAAAACATAATTTGAAGTGCAGTCATAGGTAAATAGGGTTGTGATTTAGGTTTGTGAGCTGGTGAATCTATACCGCAGTCAATTTGTATTATGCCACCTGACAAAAGATATTTGAGGACTGTTTCAGAATGGAAAGCTGCAGGAAATGCTAGCAGTGACAATCCAACACTGCGGATTGGGCTCTCGGCTACCCCAGGAACCGGCGCACACCAGCTGCTGTCAAAGTCAGAAGCATACGACAAATTTCCTCTAATTTCTCAAAGAAGGTCAGGGAAGGATGCAAGTACTGTCAGCATCACCCTCAAAAAACATAGGACAACTTTTCCCAAGCTAGAATGTGGTTAAAAATGAGAAGTGTTGAGGTATGGTTTGGACTTGTGCTTTCTGTTCAGATTCTGAGCCACTCAATTTCTGCCAATTACTTGCTATCCAGAACCACAAAAGCTAGCACCTTTACGTTACAGTGGACAAAAGACAACCAGCAGGATTTATGGTAATTACTGCTTCAGTGGTGGAGGCGCCAAATGGCTCTAATTTCATAGAATCATAGAATGGCCTAGGCTGGAAGGGACCTTAGAGATCATCTAGTCCAACCTCCCTGTCATGGGCAGAGACCGCTCTCAACTAGATCATGATACTCAAGGCTCCGTCCAACTTGGCCTTGAACACCTCCAGGGAGGGGGCAGCCACAACACCTCTGGGCAATTTATTCTGAAGTCTTGCCACCCTCGTACTGAAGAATTTCTTCCTAAGATCCAGTCTAAATCTATTCTCCTTCAACTTAAACCCATTTCCCCTTGTCCTATCGCTGGACACTGTTGTAAAAAGTCCTTCCCCAGTTGTCCTGTAGTGAGGACCCCTGCACATTTTCTTAGGCACTGCAAGTTTCCACAAATTCAGAGTCACAAAAACCCACTGAGTTGACGTTGCCAAAGGTTCAAGCACATATGGTGTTCCTTATCACTGGCAGCTTCAAGTATTAAGCCAAAAAAAACAATACACAGACTTATAGGTCTCTTTCAATGATTCAGGTTGAAAGAGACCTCAGGAGGTGTCAACTCCAATTTCCTGCTCAAAGCACAGTCAATACTGATTTCAGACCAGGTTACTCAGGGTTTTGCCTGGTCAGGTCTCAAAAACTTACAAGGATGGGGACTTCATGGT